TCATAGCCGTTTTCGCGCATCGCCTCGATGTTCGCATAACTGGTATGCTGAAACCGATGGATGAGTGAGGAAAACTGCCTCTTCCATTCCTTCTCGATCTCTGTATGGAGATCAGGAAGAAAGGAAGGCTCACCTGAGCTGGAGGGCTACCAGAAAGATAGCGCTCATCGAGACGACCTCGCAACGTCACTTTCTTGGCCCGCAAGTGCGAGGGGGAAAGCCCCTCTTTAAACTCATCGGCCAGATCCACCTGCGATCCCTACGAGCTCATTCTCCTCCGCGCCTCAGCAGCGGCAGGTCCTGAACCGCGGGGAGCCGATGGCTGCCTCTCTTTCCTTGAAAAAAGAGACAAACGAGAGCGGAGCTTTTTCATTGGAAAATGCTCGCAGTGAACGCAGATTGCCCTCTCGAGGACATCGCGTGCGTGCTCCTCGCCCAAACAAAAAACGCAGAGATCGCGTGTGTCATCAGATGTAAAATAACGACGATACGGATGCACACATCCTCTAAACGCCTTGCTAGTGCTAGCCATAATGAAGGAATAAAGATCGCTCTTACCACGGAAATGCACGCTTCAAACAAAACGGTCAGTGAAAACGAAGAAGGGGATGATGTGTTCTCTCGGCGCCTATTTATAATATAGTCACACCGGTAGTGACGTCATGGCTGTCGCCGGCCAACGTGTTGTTGGTGTTTTTCCAATGTATGCTTCAGACACGGGTCACGACGAAGCGTTCCCCATTGCGACCCCTAGAGGACGCAGTTCGAAGTTCCCTTGAAAGGGAACCCACTTCTCATAAAGGACAAGAACTTCTTTTTAATGAAATACCAATGGTTATATAGGATAATTATGCATTCTTTATAGCAACTTGTTTACCATATTCTTCATTCTTTCAAGCAGACATATTTATTTATATAAATAAATTTAGATTAATCTTTAGGGCTACTAAAGTTTTTCAGTCAAGAGCAGTGAGTGATTTTCTGTCTTTCTGTTGTTGCTTGATTAACATCAATGACTCAGACAATAGCAACTAAATTAGGCTGCTGTCCCTTTAAAACCGAATACACGGCTGCAATGGATGCAATATACTGATACACGTTCTCCCTACTGTTTACGTTCACTTAAGACATAATCAATTGTTTACGTGAATACTCGTCATTCATGCGACGTGAGAGACTACTTGTGTGCTGTGAGCTAGTCTAGTCTAATGCATGATATGATTATATGGGTACGCAGAGTTTTATTTTGGGGGTTTACCATGTTTTACATCACAGAGAATTATGTTTCCCAAGTGTGCATTTGCATTGCTAGTGTGCATGACTTTGGTCAGATTCTCACCTGGAAATGTCCAGCATAATCCTCCTCTTGGTCACCATTGTGCCCTTCCTTCAGAGCGATAAGAGTAAAGCCTCTGAAGTATGCAGGGTTGGTTGCATACAGGGATACTGGAAATAATCACAATAAAAATAATCAGTTACATTATCTTTCTGATTGCTTTCACGGGTCAATCAAAATCAATAAGACACATACAATGATACCAGGCTTCTGATACAGAATTGGTAATATTTCATAAGTTTTGTTTTGCCCATATAATCTTTAGCTACTGGGGATCAACTCATTTGGCTTGATGTCCGCAGTGGAGGGGCTGAAGGAGACAGCTACAAATGCTTGGAAGATAAGTACGGATAGCAAGATGCCTACATTTTGTTCGTGGAGTTGGGGAGGTGAAGGAAACAGATGAAACAGCTGATGCCGGAGCAAGGTGAGCGCTGCTTATATGCTCCAGCAGTTCACTGAAAAATTATATGGGTTCACCTCTCCCAAAAATGCATTTAGGAACGTCACTTCTTTTCTAGTCCGGAAATTCTTACTTTGTTATGTTCAAATACCTCCAGTGAAATCGTCATGTAACCCATTTTAAATATATTCACTAACAAATATTATTCAACATATAATGCACAGAGTAACTGATTATTGGTTAATACACAGTACAAATCAGAAAGTTAGAAATATTGTAAACCTTTCATTTGCATATTGAAAAGAATTTGCAGTAGGCTATCATATAGGAGAATACAGAAATAGATGTAAAATAGTTTTTGTTTGTTTGTTTATTAATTAATTCAATCAGTCATGTCAGATATGACAACATTATCTAACATAAATCAAGCCTTTTATGGCATATCAGTATTAAAAATGTATTTAAATTGTATAAGTTATTTGGGAGCTTTAGGCAGTTTTTTGAAAACAGACACTGCAGTTGATAAATTCAAATAAAATTAAACATGTGACAGCTCACCCTGATATAAATGTGACAACTTGCTCTGACTTGACCATGATAAAATACATCCTTGTCCTGATAACACAGTTCAGATATTAAAATATACTGTTTAGGTTTACCCTTTGCTTAATGTAAGGGGAGGGGGGCTTGTTTTCATTTAAAAAAAAAAAAAAAACATTTATGACCATGCCAGGGAACAAATATTTGTGGACTTTTAAATTAAAACGTTATAGTTACTGAGACAACTTCCCCGCATCACAATAAAACCCTGTTTCCACTATCACTTAGGCAATATGATGCCCCAACATGCTGCCTTGCAGCTTGTTAGTTTTTCAGACAAAGCCCCTATCTCCAGCGCGCGCACTGTGAAGCGTCTCTGTCCGCGCCGGTGGTCCTGACAACAGCTGAAACAGTGACATGTACCTCGGTAAGTGCTGCCGGGTTGATAATGCTCCGGGTCTCCTTCCACTCGCAGTCTGAACTCACTGAAGCCCTCCCTCCTGCCTCCAGCTCCGTGAGGCTGAGCCCGCGTTATCCAGCTGCAATAGCCGTCAGATGGAGCCGCTCTGTCCGCGGGCTCCTCGGGCACACTCGCGCACACGCAGCCGGTTAACAGCAGCAGGACAGCGGCTCTCCACATCTCCGATCGCTTCACTTTCATTTCCAAATACGCACTTACAAGCGTGTTTCTAGAGTGTTGAACTCTAGTGGAAACTAAACTTGGCTGTAATAACAGGCTCCCATATACGCAAATGCTGATATCTCCGCCTTCACCCTGTTATTTTGCCATCCTGAACTGAAGAGAGAAAGAGAGATGATGAATCGCCCGTCTGCATGTACCGAGTGGCACATTCACAGTGGACTGATTCTAGTGCTGCTGCCTCACACTGACAGCCGAATGGATTCAGCCACACAAACTCAAAAACAAAGACCACATGCTCAGAACAGAGAGAGCCCCGGTTTTCAGATATTTTGAGAATCGTCAGAACAAATGATAATTAATTAATTATATTTTAAATGTATTATTAATTAATTATTTATACATGTTATAAATATTTAATTTTATTTAATTTTATTTTTTTATTATTATCATTCATTCATTCATTCATTCATTGGAACACTGCCTTCTCAAGCGCTCTCAGTGTTTGCCTATAAATATTAGAGCACCCAATTATTGGGCTCTCTTCTCCTTTTTTTGTAGCTTAACTAAACTTTTAACTTCTGTTTCAAATTTCAACCTTTATTTTGCCTTTTTGTAAATATTATGCATTTGAAGAAACAAAAAGAAAAAAAGAAAACAATTAAAAAATAGGATCCACGACTATGACGTCAATGTAATATTTGCATTGTACATTTTGATTGGTCTTCTTTCTTTAAAGCATTTTGCATATCGTTTTGTGATTAGTAGCCTATTTTCTTTCTTAAAAATTAAGTGTGTGTGTGTGTGTGTGTGTGTGTGTCATTTCTCCAAACCATACTGCAAAAATAGTTTCAAATAGGGTGGACCCCAAATAGGGTCAATAAATGGATAGTTCCACCCCAAGCACATGCTAATGGTTGAAACAACATTGTTTCCTGGTCAAGATGCTTAAAGGCATTGTTCACTCACAAATTAAAATGCATGATTTACTCGTCATTATCATGTATGGTAATGTCTCAGTGTTTTCTTCTTCTTCTTCTTCTTCTTCTTCTTCTTCTTCTTTATCCATGCAATTCAACAGTCATCAAAACTGTTTCCAACATTTTTCAAAAGATCAGTAATAATACCACAAATAATACCTTTTTCTTAAAACGGTGGCTTACTCAATGGTTTAGCTAATGTTTACTTTGCAATTTAAACAGAAAGTGGTCAAATAATATTCTCATTATAATCGCTGGAGCTGTCAATCACTTCAGTTCAGCGCAAGTTCCCTGACTGAGTACTGCTTTCTTGCCAAATCTCCAGTTACAGTGGGGAGTGGGGAGCCTGCGGCCCCATGCCTACAGCCGAATCACAATATTGCATGTCTACGAGTGTGAGATTGTATTTATACAACACTTCAACAGCACAAGTATGTAAAACAACCACATAATTTCTTAAAAACCCCTTTTGTGTGGGGAAATACTTCCTTCTGCCACAGACTCAAATATCAAATTGACAGTTTAACAAGCCTCTGCTACTAATTTGAAAATGTCATTTTAAAGCTAGCAAGGAACTCTGAGTTGCTTCACTGAAGTTAAAAGCTTATTGTATTATAGAGTGGAGTATTATGAGAAAGAGATGGACTGGGTGAATGTGATTATCTGCATAAATAATAAATAATTAAATAAAGTGATTTTCTTCAACTGTTAAAGGGATTTCCCAGGCCTGTAAATGCATTTGTTGGTTGCATACAAGGTGTTTAAAGTAAAATAATGTCCTTGTTTACAATCTTGTTCTGTTCCCTTTCAAAAGACCACTTCTTAATATCAAAACTATTATTAAATACTAAAATATTTTAAATTATTAAAATATTTAATAAACAACAATTATAATAGTTGCTAAACAATTCAGTCAAAAATACAAAGGCATCGCTCTGATACAGCATAAAGGTAAAAATGAAAAAAATTATGAAACTTTGCCCGCATCTAAAACGATATGCTCTGGAACAAATAATAAATTATCGAGACCAACGACTGCCTGTAGATTTACCCAAAACAAGTTATATCTCATGTTTAACCACTATAGAGACATCAGAGTCTGCGGCAAATTCTAAAAGAACTGCCAGAAATAAGGCTGCTTTCGGCGGGTTCATGAGCACTGAACGGCTGCTGACGCCCTGAAGCTCACATCTCCAAAAATGTTGAAGCAAATGTTCAAAATAGGCTTTCAAAATCTTTATTAGGGGTGACCATCAATAGTAGAAGATTTGATGCTTCGATAGAGGGAGCCTGATTCAAGTACCAATCTCACAGTCAAATCTTCTCAGAGGTGTTGTGAAACGAGGATCATACCATTTTGGCTATATGGGGGTGCTCAGTGTCTGATTTCACATAGAACTTAATATATAAGTTAATAGTATAGCCTATTATGATAATGTTGTAAATAAAAATGTGAAAAGAAAGCAGCTTTTAATAAATATTTTTTAACATGCGTAAATAAATCCAATAACCCCTGTGACAGATTTAAGTTTCATTTTCCATGATCCGTGACAGACAGAGGAGCATCTTGGCGGCTTCTGCCGGACAACATTAAAGGGATAGTTCACCCCAAAATGAAAATGATGTCATTAATTACTCACCCTCATGTCGTTCCAAACCCGTAAGACCTCTGTTCATCTTCAGAACACATATTAAGATATGTGCGGTATGCAGTCCTATTTTTTTCTACTCAAGCCGGTTTCGGAACGGTAATAGCCTAATATAGAGGAACGCAGGAACAGAAACGTTAAAATATCGATTCTGCTCGGAGTGAACCGATTGATTTTTTTTTGTTTCGTTTTCAAGCCCTAGCTGTAATGTCAGCAATGCCTCGTAAGCAATCCCGGTGCACTGTGTTTGGATGTAAGACTGAACATTAGAGTCTTTATTTTCTCCCAACATCTGAGCCACTGAGGATGCAGTGAATTATTTATTTTTTTTAAGGTAATGGGCCTCAAAATCTACCTAAATAAGTTTATGTCTGCACAAGTCGTTTCACTCCAGACTGCTTTGTGAATGTCATGTTGTTATAGTTATTTGCGTTGTGTGTATATTATAGAAGTATTTTAATTGATCAGTGCAGCGCTTGTGAGATTAGGTCGAGATTGGTTGCAGACACATTCTGGGGACACCCAAGACCAATATTACATCTTGTGAAAATGCGCATAATAGGTGCCCTTTAACACAAATATCTAATGAGCCAATCACATGCCAGCAACTCAATGCATTTAGGCATGTAGACATGGTCAAGGTGATCTGCCAAAATTTAAACCGAGCATCAGAATGGGGACTTTGAATGTTGCATGGTTGTTGGTGCCAGGCGTACGTCTCTGATCTACTAGGATTTTCACACACAATCATCTCTAGGGTTTACAGAGAATGGTCTGAAAATGAGAAAATATCAAGTGATGGAAATTTTGTGGACAAAAATGTCTTGTTGATGCCAGTGGTCAAAGGAAAATGGCCAGACCAGTTTGAGATGATAGAAATGCAACAGTAACTCAAATAAACACTTGTTACAACTGGGGTATGCAGAAGACCATCTCTGAATGCACAACACATTGAATCTTAAAGCAGATGGGCTACAGCAACAGAAGAGCACACAGGGTCCTACTCCTCTCAGCTAAAAGCATGAAACTGAGGCTACAATTTGCTTGGGCTCACCAAAACTGGACAAAAGACGATTGGAAAAAGGTTGTCTGGTCTGATGAGTCTTGATTTCTGCTGCAATATTCAGATGGTATGGTCAGAATTTGGCATAAATAACACAAAAGCATGGATCCATTCTGCATTCAATGTGCTGGTGTAATGGTGTGGGGGATATTTTCTTAGCACATTTTAAGCTACTTAGTATCAATTGAGCATCATTTAAATTCCACTGCCTACATTGTTGCTAGCCTTGTGATGGCTACTTTCACCAGGATAATGTCATGTCACAAAGCTCAAATAATATCAAACTGGCTTCATGAACATGACAATGAGTCACCAGATTTCAGTCCAATCGAGCATATTTGGGATGTGGTTGAAAAGGAGATTTGCCTCATGGATGTGCAGCCAACAAATCTGCAGCAACTGATGCTATAATGTCAATATGGACCAAAATCTCAGAGAAATGTTTAAAGCACCTTGCTGAACTAGGCCATGAAGAATAAAATACAGTAAGACCGTAAATAACAAGAATTTAGCAGATGCTCTTATCTTTAAGGATTTGCATTATACATTTTACAGTGACAGCCCCCACCCCCCACACACACAAAAAAAAATACATACACACAGTATGTGTTTTAGAGTCAATGGAACACACCACTCCTCTTCCTAACACACATGGATTTATAGGCGCCAGGTTAATTCTTTAACAGTGCCATTTATGTCTAGAATTTTTTTTCGTACTTGTTAAAAAGTAAATGCAAAAAGGAATTGTGTCTTTAAGGGACTTTAAAATTATTGAAAACAGGAATTGTATATGTAGGTTTTTGACATTATGTTGGTACTGTAGATACAAAAAAGCCTCTTACTATCTCTGTAGTAAATATTTAACTGACTCTTTAAAAAATGATATATCAAGGGGTGAGAACCAGAACGGCGTAAGTGACATTTTTGGTGAAATGGAGAGATATACAGTGGGTACGGAAAGTATTCAGACCCCCTTAAATTTTTCACTCTTTGTTATATTGCAGCCATTTGCTAAAATCATTTGTTAATTTTTTTTCCTCATTAATGTACACACAGCACCCCATATTGACAGAAAAACACAGAATCGTTGACATTTTTGCAGATTTATTAAAAAAGAAAAACTGAAATATCACATGGTCCTAAGTATTCAGACCCTTTGCTCAGTATTTAGTAGAAGCACCCTTTTGATCTAATACAGCCATGAGTCTTTTTGGGAAAGATGCAACAAGTTTTTCACACCTGGATTTGGGGATCCTCTGCCATTCCTCCTTGCAGATCCTCTCCAGTTCTGTCAGGTTGGATGGTAAACGTTGGTGGACAGCCATTTTTAGGTCTCTCCAGAGATGCTCAATTGGGTTTAAGTCAGGGCTCTGGCTGGGCCATTCAAGAACAGAGTGATCTTTGGGTTCTTCTTTACCTCTCTCACCAAGGCTCTTCTCCCCCGATAGCTCAGTTTGGCCGGACGGCCAGCTCTAGGAAGGGTTCTGGTCGT